TTATACCCTAACCATATATCCTATACTTTACACCACATACCTTGTATCCTAACCACGTACCATAAACATAAATTAAAAAGGGATCTCCTGCCGTTAAAAACTTCAAATGACTTCAAATGAACATATGTTAATAAAAAACTTGGAACCGTCAAAACCATCAATATCTTATACCCTAACCATATACACCCTAAACCATATGTACCTTATACCCTATACCCTAACCATATACTTTATATCCTAAACAACGAACCGTCAAAGATTACTTATCAAGTTTAGTATAAATTGTTGTAACTAATGGTTAATTTATTTATTAGCCCATAAACAATTACATACATATATATATTAGCCTTCAAAGCATATAAGAATAATTTTAACTAGTCATGCCCTCCATATAAAAGTTAAAGATTCATATTTCAAAAGTTAAAATTATGAAAAACAAAAAAATTGAAAACACCAAATTTGTTTCCTTCTTTCTTTTCACAAAAATACTAAAATTTCTCTCCTTTTTTCTACTTCCATACATTAGAAAACTCAATTTTCCCTCCTCTTTCTCTTCCATAAAATTGAAAGAACCAAATTACTCTCTTCTTTCCTTCTACAAAAAGTTGAAAACTCAAGAGTTTCCCTCCTTATTTCTCTTTCATAATCAAAAGAATCAAACTTTCCCACTTCTTTCTCTTCCCACATATCAAAACCACCAAAATTCCCACTTGTTTCTTTTCTAAAAAATTCAAAGAACAAAATTTCCCTCTTCTTTCTCTTCCCAAGAACTTGAATGCACCAAAATTTCCCTCTTCATTTAAAAACATTAAATTACCAAATATATTACTTTACTTTATTTACATTTAATCGATAATTTTATTGAATAGTTAAATTAGCCAAAATTTTAATTTATATATTATATTAATATTGTCATGATCTCAAGTGACCTTCATGTTTCAATTTTTGTAATTTTCTTAAAATACGTAATATCAAGTGAGTTTCATATTTTTTAAATTTCCTATACGAAACGAGAAAATAATTTTACTTAAGTTTAGAATGAAAAACTTTATTTTGAAAAACTATGTATTGTATATTTTTATAATTATTCAAGTGGATTAGATGAAATTCGGGTTGAGTCGGTCGAGTTACGGGTTAGTCAGGTTCGGGTCAATCGGGTTCGGGTTAATCGGCTTGCCGGTCAGTCGGGTTGCGGGTCAATCGGGTCCGGGTTAATCAGGTTGCGGGTCAGTCGGGTTGCGGGTCCGGCGGGTTACGGGTTGTTGACTTTTAGTCAATTCAGGTTGCGGTCGGGTTGCGGGTCGAGTTGATCGAGCGGGTTAATCGGGTCGGGTTATGTTTTGACACCTATAACTACAACACCAATGATTTAAAGCAGAGTAGAAGTTAACCAATTAAGAAAAAAGTTTTTCACCCCAAAAAAAAAGACCCCCTCGTCTCCTCCTTTCAGAAATCTCCGTTCTCAACGAACCGAAGGACATCCACAGAGATCGTAATCTACGAAACCCTTAACCCTAGCGTTTCTTACGTCTTGAACAGACATCCAAAACATCTATAACCCCGACCGATGTCGATTCCGCCGCCTTCCTCAGCCTCCTCTGCATCGCAATTCACCTACTCAGCTCCGTCGACGTCCTCGACGCAAACGAACACTTCGTATTTCCCTACGCCATTTCATCTCCAGCAGCCATACGTTGTCGCGGCCCCTCCTGCCCCCGCCGCAGCTCCGCCTTCTGTTGGTTCCGTCTACACGGCTCCCGTTGGACCCGTTTACTCAATCCCCCAATTCCAGCAGGTCGGCATTGATTCCAATAGCTTGATGTTTTCTCTTCTATTCGATTAATTTTTTATTCAGCCAACTCTGGGGATTAATAGCTTCTAATCTCTGGTAGTTCACGAGCAGGCACAGCAGCTGTTTCAGAGAGATGCACAAACGATTACGCCGGAAGCACTTGAAGGTGTGAAGGCTGCACTTGCAAGCAGCGAGATTGAACACAAAGCCGAAACAAAGAAAAGGGCTGTTCCCCGGAAAGCTGCCGGTCAGTCTTGGGAAGATCCCACTCTTGCAGAGTGGCCTGAAAGTAAGATCAACCCCACCTGCTCTTGTTGGATATGTTGCTTGTGCGAGGTGCTAAGTCGCCGTTATTGTTGCAACTTGCAGATGATTATAGAATTTTTTGTGGCGATCTTGGTAACGAGGTGAATGATGACGTTCTCTCAAAGGCGTTCTCCAGGTTCCCTTCCTTCAACATGGCCAGGGTAAGTCTCTTAAGCGCATTCAAGTTCTGTGATGTTTGTTAAAAAGCATTAATATTTTTGAATCTTGTATGAACTGTGTGCATGTCCTCTTCAAATGTTTGTTTGAAGCTGACAGACTAAGTTGTTCTGTATGTTAAGGTAGGCTTTTACTTACAATCTATCAAGTAATTAGCCATATGATTCTGCCAAGAAATGTCCCTCCCCCTTGTATTTTTTCATCTGCGTTTAGCATTCTTCATCTCCACTGGCTGATTAGACTTTTGGCCTTTCTGAGTGACTGGATTTCCATTAAGCGTTGCAAAGTCTAGAAATTGGTTCTGCTGATCTAACAGCTCTGAGGTTGATTAAGCTCCGCTTTGTCTAGTACGAATTGAATATGGACAGTAGGGGTGTCCAAACGGTGTGGTTACTGTGGTAACCGTTTTAACTGGTAGTGTGTGGATAATTTGGTTTAGTTAATTTGGATAATTGGGTTGGTTTGATTAAGTTTTTTAGCTTGTTTGGTTTGGTTTCAGACATTCCTGACCAATCAAACCCAATTAACTAGTTAACTAATTAGTCATATATATAATATGTATTATATACGGTGGCTACTCTCACTTTTTTGGGTGCACTCAATGCACCCACTCTAAAAGTGTCCATATTACATCAAATTTTGAACTTTAATTAGTACTCTCAATCTAATATGATGATATGACATAGAATCATAACAAATCAATTTATTACCCTAACCCCTTAACCTTCAATTTTGAATCCCAATCCAAAATCCAAAATTTTAAACCTAATCCTTAACCCTAAATCCCTAAATCCTTCAAATTAAAGTAAATTTTGAATGATTTTTTTTCAAATTCATGTGCTTCTTGTTCATAATATCATAAGCAACAATTGATACCGTTTTGACATGAATCACATGCTCAGAATGACAATTATGAGGCGGGTGCACTGAGTGCACCCAAAAAAGTGAGTGCACCGAAGACGCCATCATTATATACACATACTTAATACTTTCATATGTTCCTCCCTTTAGGCTCATAAAAAAATAAAGGTCAATATTATTCCTATACTATATATTTGTAGTTGTAGAGTGTAGACTACAACAATTTTTTTTTAGTTTAGACTACAGCATATGAATGTTTAAGTTAGATAAAACTCATATACATTATGTTGGATGAACACTTATGATAATTGCTAAGATACTAAATTATTTCACACAAGCACAACAATTCATTAACACATACATTTGTATATATTTTTGTTAGGTGAATACTTCTATAGACTATAAGATAATTGTATTAGTTATATGTATTTATGTATTGATTGTTATGTTCTATTCATAATATAAATTGCGAATTAATGCATTAACCGAAAAAGTTTCTCACTTATTGATAATGTGATGTTATATTGGTTAATCTGGTTAACCTCTAGTTTGATTAATTTGGACGGTTTGGTTATGATATTATATTCCATCATTAATGGAATTTATACTTATTTGGTTTGGTAATTACCATGATAATCATTTGAACACCCCTAATGGACAGTATCAGGAATTAAAGATTTTGACCTTGAGTAGATAGTTCAGTTTACTAGAGGCTGGTTCTCGTTGTAGAGTTGGTGTGATCAAGTTGGGCAAGATTGGGAACTCGATAGGATGTCAATTGTCAAGTGGCTGGTTCTCGTTGATCCTTTCTTGATAGACTATCCATATACAGTTTCCACAGCTTCTAATGTAACCAGTGAACCTTGCATGGGGTTGGGTTTGGACCGAGTTTAATCCGTTTACTTATAGGCATAGACGCACAGTTGAGATATCTTTCCAGTGTAAATCAACGAGTTCCCATTCCTTTTTGGATTAAAATTCACTTTAGACCTAGGGAACTCTCGGGTGATTGCTTAGCCTCTCTTTTTTAAAGCCATAGCGTGTTGTTTTTCCTTGGATGAGGGTTTGGGCCGCTTCAGACTATTATGGGAATTGTTCTTTCTTCCAGCCTCTGTTATGCACAAGATCACCTTGTTCCTATCCTCATGCTTTTCCTTCAGCTCTTCCTTGGTTATGTGAACTGCTAACTGATTTTAATGTGTTCTTGGATCATGCCTTTCTCTTAAACGTGTGATTCTCTAGGTCGTGAGAGACAAGCGAACTGGGAAAACAAAGGGCTATGGATTTGTGAGCTTCTCTAATCCTACGGACCTTGCTGCAGCTTTGAAGGAGATGAATGGTGAGTTAATACAATATATCTTAGCAAGTGTTGGTATCTGGTCCCCGAGTTACGTGTTGATCAATCCAGGCTTGACATCAACTGTAGGTAAATATGTTGGCAATCGTCCCATCAAACTACGCAAAAGCAACTGGAAGGAGAGGACAGACTATGATGCATTAGGGAGACCTAAGGTAAAAACCACCTTGATTTCTTGAAAATAAGATAATACTGTAGTTTGGCATGCTGATAGTTATGCCCATTTACCTGCAGAGCCACCATCAGAAGAAGCCCAAGGTTCCAAAGAAGAGCGTATTGCACAAGTAGAACATTCAGTGTGACCAGCTGTTAAGTGTTTCGATTTCGATTCTGTTGGTCAGGCTGCCTTATTTTGTACAATTTGTGAACTAACATTTGCTAATTGTAACTATGAGTAAATAACGGGTACCTATGCTGGCCGTTCTCTAGTAGAGCTGTTATTCTGTGTTTTTGCGCATTTTCCAGGTTCTACACTACAATCAAATTACAATTGTTGAAAGTTCGTAATATCAAGAAATGGTGGTTTCTGATGATGAATCGATAGTATATGTGATTACAAATGTATGTTTGACATTCAAAACACATGTAACGTATCGTTATACACCAACACCAGCCAATCAAAAGCCTCTAGTAAAGCTAACAAGGTAAGTAAATGCATGTAGGCTATCGTAAATGTCCTAACAGCAGATGGAAAGAGAAATCAATCCTCTCCTTTTTTCTCCAGAAGAAACATTACTAGCTAACAATTTGTACAGAAGAATGGCTTTGCATTACACTGTTCTCAGGAAACCCCGTACCTCGACGAGGAAGGCATTGACATTTTTCCTGAACCTCTGGTAGTTCATACGATCAAGATTACAAGAAAGCTGATTGGCGTTAGTGACCATATGAAATGCACTGGATAGTCTTGATTTGAAGCTTGGATTCACCTGCCTCTCTATCAGCTCGTTTGCGAGTTTCTGTATGACACGAAGCAAATACAGTCGGCAAGATTTCCAAGGAATTTGATAGGGCTAGTGCATTATGGGGGTTCTGAGAACAATTTATGTGTATTATTTACCTGGTAGAGCCCTTGTTCGCAGAGGATCAAGGGAAACAAAGCATCTGCTGCGGGGCTCACCAGATCAGGGCTGGAACTCAAAAACATCTCTTTAGAATACAGAAGATTATGTACTCCCAAGTATTACACGTGGCTAACTGAACTACGTATAAATTATAAAAACAACTTATTACCTGTAATCCTCAAAAAGGAGTAGCTGAAGCAACAATCGGAGGAATCTGCTCAAAACGCCGTCTTGCATATCACCACGTGGATCTTTCACTGGCGTGGCGTGAGAGCCCAGGCCAAGATTGCCACTAGTGGTTTCCTTGTAGTGGTAGGCAGCAAGAGCTTTTAGAGATCTAAGGCACATATTCACTATTTCTGTATCCTATACCATCAATATAACAAATGGGGAGTAGGTTAAGCGGCTATATTGTATCATCAAATCAAAGGTCCAGCTCACATCACATACGTTGGAGAAGGTAGTATTATTCCACATCACTATACCTGGTGATGAAGTCCGAAATCAAGTGTCCCAAGCACATGCAGAAAGGCTTCACTATCAAGTCTTCCAACTGTCTCCGGGTATACCTCCAACATGTGTGACAGCAGCGCAAAGTACTGCCAAATAAAACTACTAATCAATTTCAAGGAGGCAAGAACATCAATATGCTTCTGAATGAAGTTATTGGAGCTTACATCATGACAAAGCTTGGGGTATTTCAGTAACTCCAGCGATATCAGTGGGTTAACAATGTGCATACCAAGGTACACCACCTGCAACAATCAATTGCTTTAGAAAGAACCTATTTCATTTTTACAAGAGGACATCGAGTTGCATTTTAACCTGAGCTATGTTTGTGCTCTGGGACTCATCAGAATCCAAGGAGAAATCAACCTGCAATTCAGGAACATCTCTTTTAAGGTAAATTATTTGAATCCATAAGCTTGTGTGAACGTGACTGACTATTCATGTTAATTACATACCAAATCTTTTGAGCAAAAACTTGAAAGAAGCTGAAGCAGAGCACGCAAATCCTTATACTTCTCTGTATTTGCTTCACTAATTAAATTGCTCGAAAGGCTTATTGAGATCTGGATAGGAAAAAACATACATTAATCAAAAGGGCGTAAGAAAGATCACATTTAGACTCCAAAATAAGAGATGGGTCTAAACAAGATGAACATAAATCTAAAATGACTGATACAATTGATTTACAACATAAAAATGGTATGCAAGGCGGGGGCCCACAAGAGAGAAATCAGTTTATTTGGCATTTTTTTTCTTAACCATGTTTATTGCGGGCCCACATTTCTGTTGCTTGCAACTAGGGGTGGAAATCGGTACGGTATCGGTATCCCAATACCAAATACCGAAATCCCGAATACCGAATTACACCCTGAAATCAATCCCAATCCCAATCCCCAAATAATTTCGGTATCCCAATCCCAATCCCTAAATATTTCGGTATCCCAATCGGTACCTCGGTATCCCAATCGGTATTATCAAATACAAAATTAATTATCTTTGCTATTAATAATTAAATATATAAATTAGATTTTATTGTTTAATTTAGGGCAAAGAGACTAAACAAAGAGTCTTGAGTTGCCTAGAGCTAACATCTCAAGTTTTTATAATTAGTAATCTTTAATTTGATGAATTTGAGGTTGAGAGACGACTAATACTAGTGTGAAATAGTGATGTAATGATCTATGTATAATTAAATGACACTATTGGTGGTTGAGGGTCGCATAGTAGTAAATGAGAGAGTCTAGTTGAGAGGATAAAATACACATTAGCTTATATTTCGGTATTGATCGGTATTTCGGTATATACCGATCCCAATCCCGTAATCCCTAATACCGAATAACAATTGAAACTCAATCCCAATCCCAATCCCACAAAATAATTCGTGTATTCGGTAATACCAAATATAGACAAATTCGATACGGTATTCGGTATATACCAAATACCGGTACCAAACTTCCAGCCCTACTTGCAACAGCTTAGTCTTTTGAACGACAAAATATCCTAGAGCATTACAAAATTTTCAGCATGAGAGAGGAAGCAAGAATAATAATAGACAATTGCTTAGTTAAAAAATTCTCCAGTTGAATTAAACAGACATGCCATCAAACTTTAACATGAGATTAATTGATTGAACAGCACAAGTACCATGAGAAACACTACCTTGCCAATATTGTGAGATGAGTAAAGCTGAAGCAAACGTATGGAGAACTCAACTACCGCAGCAGTTTCCCTAGATTCTAAGTAGGCAATTTGTCCATCAACCCAATCAACAACACACTTGAGGAGCATATAAATGACTGTGGACTGCAATAATCAAAGAATCAGTTTTGATGCAAAGATTAAGAACAGAAATAAATTATGCAAATATCAAACAAGAGGTTGAAGATTTAGGAAATCAAGAATGATACTCTCAGACGAAAAAAGAAAGTAGTACCTCGTTCTTGTACACTTCAAGAAGAACTAAAACAGGAGTCATTATAGAAAACCCCATCTCGCACAGAGCTCTTTGTGTTCGAGGTTCTGATGCTCTTGCAGCTCCACGCAGCCTTTCTAGTAAACAACTAAGCTACACAAAACCAAAGAAATTGGAGTAAGAACCAGATAATCTGCATAAGAATATATCTAATAAGCAGATGAAGGAACACAGACGTACTGGGAGTATGACATCAGGCCGCTGAGAAATGATTTTGAGGTCACTCTTGTTAGACAACTCTATCAGATACTTTGTCGCGTGGCCCATGAGATCCCTAACATATCTTTACAAGAAAGAAATCACACATTAGGTGTTAGCAACACTTGATAAGCAGAAAAGGAGACTGATAGGGAAGGCTCACTGATTTGCTGATTCGGAATTTTTTATTCCGGACGCTGAAAGGACAAGGGTTTGAGCCAATGAACGCTGAAACATAAGTAAATTCTATGATTTCTAAACTGAAGAAACAAGTACAACAGAACAGACGATAATGAAATTGGTTTTACCTGATTAACAGAATTTAACAGAAACAATGCTTCTTCATTTGTAAAAGCACGTGCAAGTGCACGCCATGAGTCCTGCAAAATGGGTGCCTGGCTCAGGTAACCTTCTCCATATGAAGACAGCTTTTAAATACTTAATGACAATTTACTCAATGTCCACTTCAGGACAATCAAACCTTTACTGCGAAGATAACTTTTTATGTGCTAGTCACAATAAGATTCAAAGCAAGCAAACCAACTCTTAAGGCTTGAACTTCACAGGCGACAATAATATAATTTTTGAGCTGTCATAACATGTCACATTAGTTATATTAAACGCACCAGTAGAACAAGGCTAGAGCAAATATGCCTGCGCCGGACGAGAGCATGTAATAATTGAAAGCAAGTGAGCGCCTGTTGGACAAAAACAAAGAACATCAGCTGCTGATAATGCTTTTGCCACTGCACAGAGTAAACCCTTTAATGGATATAGGTAGACAAAAAGTAAAAGAATTAGCATATTCTTATATACCTGGTGTTGGACGATTTGTCATGTGTAATGTAGCCTATAGCAAGTTTTAGATTATTTCAACAAACTAAGGATCTATTACAGAAGCTTTCCAGATCCTGATTTAACTCAGAATCATTTATCTTTTTTGATAGGACAGAATCATTTATCAGATGCGGAATTTAGTCACAATTTAAAGGAGATTAACCAAATTCTACATAAACAGACATTAGCCTTTTCTTTCCTGGGATCTTTTCCGCAAATGGCAAAATAAGTACGTAAATCTGTAAGAGAAGTCAAATGAAGACTAATGTGGCACTAGCACAGAGGCTATGTCCAGCAAAAACAATCATGTGAAGGTTTCTTAATTTAACTTATTTTTAGACTATATGGAACAAATTTGGACGCAAGAGCAAAACAGTAAACCTGAAATCTTGAATATATTACCCTCAGGAACATTCACGTTTTCAAAGGAAGCCGTTCATGATTCAATTACAAATAGCATGACTAATACCTGCAAATTCTTCTCTCCGGGGTACGACAGGAGTGTAGTCACAGAAACACGGACAATAATATCAAGTATGCTTTTCCCCTGGTTATATTCCCCAAAGAAACTAAGCAGAGTTTTCCTTGAGTTCTGAAGCAAATGCAAATCACTTTCTCCAATTTCTTCAGATAGTAAGTATGTACAAGACCATCTTGCAAGAAACCATATAACAGCCTGCAATATATTAAACAATAAACATGATAAAGGCAGAACATTATAAAATATATCTTATGACAAAATCTCCTTCCGTATGGGCTTAACTTTAAGACCAAAGAAAGCAATGATTTCTCATGTTAGAGATGATATAAATTAACACTGAGTCCCTATAGCGCTAAGGTGTCACAATGTTATTTCTGGAAAGAAAACTACTGATGCTTCTCATACAGATTCTAGTGAAATTCAACATTTCATTAATCTAATAGGAAATGTCAAAAGCCGATGAAATTCAAATCAGCAGTGTAAGATGTTTCAACAGCCTAGTGATAAACTTGGGACAAAGGCGTTCTGACATTATATAAAAATGAAGAGTCCTGCTTCAAAGAAAATGCAAAAAAAAAAAAAAAAGAGAGTGATTATTGAGGACCACCTCCATAAGTCGAGGACTGAAAACTGCTGCTCTCATCTCCGGATTTAAGCTCTGCTCAGCGAACTTTATTATCGAACTGTATCACAATTGAAAAAATCAACTCAATAATCAGCATCTACACAACCGCACGAAGTCTTGCTAAGAGTATATAAAGCATATCATACTCTAGTCTAAAATTGGTTTCCACTTGGTTGATTAATCTAAAAGGAGAAGGAAGTCGTGTAATGTGCAAACTATCTTAAACATTCCATTCCCAAATGCCTTTGTATTCCAAACATAAATTTACAAAGATATCGGAAAATATAATTGAGATAAATGGTTCTTTCCATCCTAAATGCAGCCTCAATGAAACGACTGATGTTTCGATTAAGATGGACGGCAAAACTTACACAGAGAGAATAACAACAGGATGATTTTGCGTTTCCACAGTGTCTGCAAAATCAGATTGTATGCTGTTTGGAATCTGGACATACATTATGCACAACACTAGAATTAAAACACAGGAGTGGCGGCATTACATCAGAGGACATTGAAAATCCAGTGTAAGAGTATAGAAACAAGAAGCAAATCCTGGAGCAGCAGTGATTTGAGGGTTAAACCAAAAGACACATAGAAGTATATCGGATAGATTTAGCAAGATCCAGGTCATTAATGTGCTTAATATAGTTATATACCAGGGGTGTTTCTCCTTCAGGTTCATCTGCAAGTATATGCCCGATAATCAGTAATAATGAGTAGAGTTCTTCCAAAGTTGGCGTTGGATCCATGATGCCCCTGCCCTACAAGTTAAGTATCGGACATCAGACACGAAATGGGTCTCATTCATTGCTAACTATAGCAATTATCTAGTCCAACTAGCAGGTTCTAACAACAGTGTCGCAAACCACAACCATAGCGAAAGATAATGAGATTATACGCTTAATTCTGTATCTCACAATCTTGTGTTCTGATTTAATTAATTTATATAATATAATAGGGCCAATAACTGCTCGTTAATGATCCAAGTAGTAGATACATCAATTCCACATCATAATTCTCTCGCAAGAAAAGGGGATAAGAAACTTTGGTAACTACAGATTGTTTGAATCTTCATCTCATCATATTCATTTAACCAAACCAGAAGAGTTAGCATATCGAAACATGTGTTTTGAAAATTGACAAGCGGACCTGATGAAGCAGTGCAACCCGTTCAGAAAACAATCTTGTGAGCAGCGGAATTGTAACATTAACTGCTGCTCTTCCAATAAGGGCATATGAAATTAGCCTTTCATCCATTGCTGAGGGGCAGACGATAAGAGCATAACGAGGATCATAATTTAGAAAATGAACCGTAGGAAGTCGTTTCTGAAGTTGAGATCTCATGCATAACTTAGAGCTCTAGGAACATCCTTACGTACAAGAAATAGAAGCCTGAAGGTAGTCGTCTCCATCATCCTCATCCAATGCTGATGCAGATGCAGCTACATGGATAAGAATAAAGGTGCAAAGCAGACTATTATTCACTTGAAAATATTTTAAGGATTACACATAAATTACAAAATTCTTGGCAATATCCCCGTCTTACATTTCAGCTCAGATTCAGCAATCAAGGCAAATAAGTTGGCTGCAGCATTGATGCCATCCAGTGGAAGCATTGTGTTTCCTGCCGAAGTGTCTACAGGCTGAAGAAGAAGAAAAACAAATAAGCATATGGAAAACATCATAAGAGAACTTCCAGGTATGAATTTAATCATAACAAGGACATCTCCTGGTTGCGTGGGATATGGATCCATACCATCAGCAGGGCTGTCCAGGTATCTAGCAGAATATCACGTGCCTCCCAGCTCCATGTCTCGTCATCAGATCTTTTAGTCATCTGGACTTTGATGACTTCACTCATCAAGTTTGATAGCAGAGTGAGCGTGCCGAAGGGTCTGAGCACAAAGGGAAAATGAAGATATATTTCTAGTATTTTAATACAAAATTAAGCATAAAATACAAAAGAAATTATGAAGCTTCCAAAATAAGTCATACACTGTTTCAAACCTTATGGACTTCAATAGGTGGTCAAATAGGATAGGGTTTACCACTGTTGCTATAGCCAACAAAGCACGGCATCCATCAAGCACCTCACTGAATACACAATATAATAGCTGCAGTGATTTCAAGGAAGCATAGCACGTAATCATATGGTGTCATGCAATAGATTCGGATTTGACCTCTCACTTCGTCCGGATTCAATAGCTTGAGCAATTGCATCAGGAGGATCAATCCAGTGTATTATCCCAGACAATAGCTGTAGTAAATGGTTTTGTTGCATGTGTTCATCGCCTGCATTATTCAAACAAACTGTATATATCCACTGAAAATAAATCAAGAAACCAAAAGTCTTGCGCACATACGAAACAACCAAATTTAGGATTACAAAAATTCATTGGGTGAACTGTGAGCAGTGTTGTGCCGCACACACAATCAGAGAGTTATATAGGTAGAATTCCTAGCTCCAGATGGAAGGCTTGCTTCATAATAAACTGTAAATAGTATCAGCTTATTAAGTATTTCTAAATCACTAACCACTGCATGCTAGTGAACATAAAGTACAACCAATAAAAACCAACCCAGCATTGTCATGATAACTAACTAAAGCTCAATGAAAAAAGCCAAGTCGAGATGTATTAACGTAATTTAAAGATTTTTTGAAAAATGTGCTATCAAACAAAAAATATATTTTTCTTTACTCTTTGGACAAAAACAGTAAGTTGAAGGTATGGACTGCATCTAAATCACTATCTGAAACAGATTCTCAGCTGCTCGGCTATAAAAGGGAAGGGATGACGCACCAGATAGAAATACGGTTCCCGCCAAAGAGCAAAATTGTACAATTAGCTTGCGAGCAGAAACTGCAACCGGACAATCAAGCCAGTAACGCCCAGTTGAAAACTTTTCTCTCAGTGCAGCGTAGAAGCTTACAATCCATCCAACGTGACCACTTGAAATCAAGGCATCACGCCATGCAGCACCAGGCTACAAATGCAAGATCATTAAATGTCAGCCCAGAACGCAATTGGAAGGGAAATGGTCATTTGGTTCATCGAAGGTGATTCTCCTCCTAAACTTTTAGGATGCTAAACCATCTGAAAGAGAGAAGCGATAGAATCCATAGCACAAGAAAATAGGTAGAATATCACAGATAACGACCACAGAACCTCAACCATTTTTCCAACACTTTAATTGGTATTCAGAAAAATCAATAGTGACGATGGTATCAATAACCAGAATACTCGGAAGCGTGAATGCTAACAGTAGCAAACCAAGCAACAATGAGGTTCCTTACACCTGGTCTTTGCTATGGCCAATGGAAAGCTAAAACCTATTAAACATATAATGCCAGAGAATTCACATCAATACATAGGTACCTGTGCCACATTACAGTCAGACCTTTTTGATGCAGTCAAGTCCGATCTAACTCCAGGTGAAAACACATTTATCCCGGCCTTGGCAGACGTGACATTAGGCTGAAACTCCCAATTGAGGATTTGGAGCATGAGACGCAATGAGCCAGTGCATACCTTTACCTCAGGGACCTTAGTACCAGATTCACTTATTCTCGCTGAAACACTTACAGCAGCATCCTTTGCCCAACAGTAAAATGTCTAGGCACCAAAATTAGCAATAATCAATACAAAGTTATGTGAAGGGAAGAGCAGAGTGAAGATGTACATAATACTTCCCAATATGCTAATACACAACTTTGATGAACCGAAACACATAATAATACAAATAAACACGACAGCAACAACCTTCAGATAATGAAGCTCTAAAGACTTTCGGCATTGTTCATGAAATTCCCTAGGGAGGCCCATGGCACTTGAAGTAGAAGGAGAGAACTCGGAAACCTATCAAAAGGAAATTTAGATCTTGATTCATGTTCAGTTAAGGAATATATATAATCTAGATGGTGTCGTCAGAATAATCAAAACAGATAGGGAAAAGGAAAATTAAAGCCACATGTACCAGTGATTCAAGAAAATTGATTCCAGAGAACTGCACATCTATTCCATGAATTCCAATAATAGCCTGATTAACCTGTAGGATTATTCAATTCGACATGTCCACCCTTATGAACGTGTACCTATAACATTCAACATTAGCTAATCGATACAGAACACTTGAAAGAGGGTACCTGATGAAGAAATGTTTCCTTCTCAGCAACAGTAAATTCAAGCCTACATATATAGATTAATTTAAAAGTGAGTAAAAGTACAAGGTATTTTCTCTTTCAGAGGAGCAGGGGCCCCTTAGGAGAACCCCCTGGGGAGGAGAGAGAGAGAGAGAGAGAGAGAGAGAGAGAGAGAGAGAGAGAGAGAGAGAGAGAAGGTCTCCAGTTGACACTTGAAGTATAAAAAATCATGGAGCCAGAGTTATCCTGTCTTGTTAAATCTTCCAAACAAAGAGGTCATACTCAAACCTAATCCGTTGTCATTTATACACATGAATTATGTGTCTCTTATATACTTTTCACATGGAAAGGTGGATGAAGTACTGATGTGTAACATAGATAATCAGCATATAATATTCATGTAACTTTCAGGGTTAAAAGATAATTTACCAGCCCCTTTTCATCAGCTGGGCAGCAACAGAAGACACCTTTGCTTGTACATAGCCCTCAGGTGAACTAGCACGTTGCATTACATAGCACAGGCAAAACCTACAGTGAAGGAAACGTATCAGTAGATAGATTGATGAATAAAAAAATCCAACGGAACTCCCACTCACAAAAATGTAAACCTTAATTTCACACTCAAGACTTCACAAAGGCTATCAGAAACAGAAGCATATAGATCTGTGAACTCCAAGATGGCACTAGTAGCATTTTACTCGGATACGGTTTGAGTGATGATACCCTATCAAGCCCTTCTTGTCGTCCCCTGTTAGAGAGCTCCATTCCCTCATAGCTGCATCACGTATTGCTGAAGCAGCTTGGAACCTTGCATTTGCAACTTGAGAATTATCTGACACACAGGAAAGTAAATGGGTGGTTCACTCACTGCAACATAGTATGATATGTGCCTTAGTTTGTTGGGCAAACCCACGCACCAAGAATAAATTGGCATAGCTTGTAGGGACGAGTGGACTGATTTAGTGACAATAGCGTCGCCTCTGCTGCCGCCGAATTTGTATGCATCTGCCACACAATCAAACAGTAAGAAAGCAATGTTCATGCCAGCAACTTGCCCACTTATATGGAAGTAAAAGGCAAGCATCACGCAAATGCAAATCATAGCAACATGCTGAAGTTATGCACAGCCAGCAACGTTACACATCCAGATACATTTCACTCACACATTACCAATATAGGTAAAGACTTGATCAGGAAAGTGCTTAAACCGTCGCAAAAAAAAAATAAAATAAATAAATAACAGTTCCAAACAAGAGACCTACTAAACCTTCAAGTAAACTTTCTCGCCCGAACACGACCTACCGCAAACGCAAGAAGCTGCAGCCATTATCAAGAAGCCGAGTAACCTATTCCGTCCTAATCAGGGGGGAAAGAAGCGAATAAGGAAGTGAGCAAGAAACCTGAATAGAAGAGCAAGCAAGCTCGATCGCGTGCATCGTCGACTGGAGCTGTGCCAAATCAGGAGCAACTCCATGCGGCTGCTGTTGCATCATTACGACTTGAGAATGATTCCGAGAGTTGATCAATCGCAAAATTCTAAGAAATTATTCCGAGCTTGAGTTCGAGATGGCAAAGTATGAAGAAGTGGAGTGGCCACAAGCGCCGGCAAGAACGTAATTCGCTTCGCCCTCTCGAGACGGAGACGGCGGAGAGGAATTTGCCGATGTTTTCAGCAGCGCTGGCTGGCTGGCTGATTTGTTGAGACCGCGATCTCGTCGCAGCAGGAAGTGGGCTGAGACTGAGAGTGAGGGGGGGAGTTAGCCTCGGGGGCTTGGATGACATGGCAGAGTTGGCAGTGGCAGTTATTGGGCCTTTTCCTCCAAATATACGTATGGCCCAATCTAAGTTAAGGCCCCTAATGGTGGGTACGAAAAAGCCCAATCTCATCATGTCTGTTGGTTGTGAGAGTTCGATAGTTATATAATTTGTATGCAGTATATACACTAATGATGTGGCAAATACTTAAATTGTTTCGAGTATGCTCAGAACATGTTGAAAACATGTGAAACTCAAAACTATTAACAAAGAAATGCAACTAACAATGACATATATGGTTACTAAGTGTTGCCTATATTTAACGGTCCGTAAATAACAACATGTTAGTTGTTTCAAATGATACATACAAATCAATCTTCACCCTAAAAGAAAAGGGTTAATTACATGGTTGGTCACTGAAATTACAAAAAACGTTTAAGTTTGGTCACTCGAAATATTTAAATCCAATGGTGGTACTTCAGTTTACTAAAATCGTTCACGTTTGGTCACTCTCCGTCCAACTCCGTTAACTTTTGCTTACGTGGCGGTCAACTCTAAAAATTGACCGTTAAATGGTGACATGTCAATTTAAAAATAATAGTATTTATTTAATTAATTTTTTTAAAATTTTCATCTCGCTATTAAAAATAAAATTATAAACTATTAAAATTAAGAACAAAGGGAATCCTCTTGAATGGAGAGGCGGGATTGAAGAGAGAGAGGTCGAAGGAGGAGGAGGGATTTCTGGCATCGAGGGCTCGCTTCCACAACCCACCCAAATCGGCGGCGGCGGCGGCGGCGACGGCGACGGCCTCGGACCAGGCGGCAGAGGAGGGTTTGGCGTTTGGAGGGATGAATTGGAGGGACAATCCGACTTAAAGCCTTTGCCTCTCTCTTCGTCGGCTCCGCGGCCGTTGCCTCCGTTTCCGCCCTTCACGCTTCCGACATCTACAATGTTCTCATCGCCTTTCCTTTTTCACTCTCGCCTCTCCATCAGCCCTTTCTGTAATGTCCTTTGTTTCCTTTCATATGCCTTGTGGTTTTGCTGCCGCAAATGATGAAATAAATTTCGCCTAGGGTTTTGGAATGGTAATTTTTGTTGCAGGTTGAGGACTTCGTTCGGGCAGGGGAAAGTTTAAGGGCTCGACTAGGGATTCCTTCAAGATCTCCCACAAAAAGGAATGAATGATTCAGCGATTGAGTTCTTGGCTTACCTGCTAGATTGACTCATTTTCGACATCATGATGAGTTTGCAGAGAAATATAGTGTGTTTGAATTGAACACCAAACTTTTGTCTCGCCATAACCAGCCATAACCGATCAAGTCGTCGAAGAAGAAGTGAAGCACGGCAGGAGTAGTGCTCCAATTGAGTTGAAGCTGCAGCAGCAATTGCCTCTGCATATCCACCCAAACAACTATTTCTTCTTCTTGTGATTGTAATGAAGGGTTTCAAGAGTGAGTAGTCTCTAGCTAGCTAGCTAGCTAGCTGTAACAGAAGTAACTCTTTATGGATGATGAAAAGCAGCAAAATCAAACCTTCCCTTCTTCTTCTGTTGTTGTTCTCAAAGGGTGGATGGCGATGGAGAAGCTGGGGAGGATTCCCCTTTATTCTTAATTTCAATAGTTTATAATTTTATTTTAATAGTTAAAAATGAGATGAAAGTTTGAAAAAAAATTAATTTTATTATTTTTAAATTGGCACGTCACACATTTAACGGTCAACTTTTAGAGTTGACTGCCACGTAAGCAAAAGTTAACGGAATTGGACAGAGAGTGACCAAACGTGAACGGTTTCAATAAACTGAAGTACCACCAATGGATTTAAATATTTCGAGTGACCAAACTTGAACTTTTTTTAATCTCAGTGACCAACCATGCAATTAACCCCTAAAGGAAAATGATTGTACTTTGATGGAGTTCCATGTATCCATCAAATTTTTATTTTTATCTTCTTTGTCGATCAATACATGAATTATATATTGACATATAATGTCAGAATATTGACATATATTTCTAAATTTGTTACAATTTTCAATGACGGTGAGTTAAATGAATTTAGCTCTTTATTTGGATAAATGTGTACAAATCATTGTCATAGATTGTCCTATAATGTTCGCATTCATTGCTCTTGTATAGTATAGCATGCATATTTGAGATGGTAGTGGACAAATGACTAATTTTATTATGTATATATAACTATATATATTAAACAACATCAACTTAAGGGATCGGTATAGAGTGCAATTATGGACAACTTTGTTTACTAAGACTATCTAGTTACTGTCAAAAATACGGTTGTTGACGCCTTCAAAGAGCTTCAATAAATTACTATACGAAAATTTAATGAACTCAAATTTCACCTAATATGGCTATTAAATTCATTCATATCTCTCTCACTTATAAAAAGTTACAAAACTCCCCAAATCTTCTTAATCACTCCATCGATTTTGCTCCTAAGTCAACATCAAGTTCACCACCATCTGGTCAACCGCTATCTATAACGGTCAACAAAATCGTCAAGACATAAATGACACACAACTATCATATGTTGAGACATAAATAAAATATAGAATAGTTCGATACACAAATGACACTTCATAGTTCGGGTTCCCCAGTGGTATTAGCCCTATTATTTTTAGTTGCCATATGAGTTCATACAAATGAACGTAAATGATAACTCCAGTATATGAATAGTTAAAATGGGATAGAGTTCTATATATAATTTTTAATTTTCTTATTTTAATAATTTTAGATGAAAAAATAAATAATAAATAATTTTTAAGATTCCATATCAGATGCCACGTCGACATTGACATAATTTTTGTTAAATATTGACGGTCAAACTCGGTCAACACTAACAAAAAAAATAGTTTAGGACATAAATGTTATGTTAAATAGTTCGGGACACAAGTGACACTTATTTTATAGTTCGTGTTTCCTACTGGTATTTGCCTAAAATAATAGTCACTGCCATGTTTGCTTGGTATGACAACTGATATGTCCAGCCAATTCCATGTCCTAATAAAAAAATCATTCACAATCAACAACAATGTAACTTTCAAATATGCATATAAGCTCACAAAAAATCTCATGAATGTTAAAAAATACAGGTTTTTGGATCATGAATTTTGTTGCTACATTTGGTTTCAATGGGCCGAATTACTTAATGTTAGAGAATATATATATATATATTTTAACATAAATAAAATTTTAAATTCATAGCTATGCTCATTTGCATGAAATTTATACTAGTTCCTAGCACCAACCTAAACGACATTATATAAATGCATTCAGTAATCGACTTCAAATACCTAATAAATACTACGTACATTGCAACCAATTGTCACTAATGGTGAAAATAAGTATACTTCTAAACCTACATACAAGATTTCAAACATAAAAAATATTATAAATAAAATAATTATTATATATGATAAAACAAAACTCATTCAACCAACCAAGTGAGGATAAAGTTGCATCAAACTTTAAACTATTTTATTTGTATGAGAATCAAAATGCATAATCAAGTCATTTTACTCAGTCATTTGTACCGACTTTACAAATCTACTAACACATACCAAAATGGTGAAATGAACCTATACATTAAACTCAATCTCGTTTCTTGATTGTTGATATAATCATGCCAGATTAGTAAGACATTTGAGTTTTAGCGAGTAACCGAACTATAAGAAAATCAGAAACCAGTCACTTATTCTTTGCACAAACTATAGTTGCTTCATGATAGTTCAAAAAATTATACTAAGTTAATAATTTCACATCACTTCTACATATTTAATACTACAATTTTAAAAAATTGTAATGATATATTTTTTCTAAATAAACCTCAATACTGATATATTTTTTCTAAATAAACAATTGTAATGACGAATGTATCATTCCTACTTTCGCTCTCGTTGCAGGATTTTTTAAATGGAAGAAAATAGAGAAATGAATCCCCATTATATATCTTATAGATATAGATATAGATATATTTTTTATTTTAAAAAGATACACCAATTTTTTTAGTGTAATTGGTAATGATTATTGTCTTCTTCAAAAGAGACTCGGGTTAAAATCTCAACACTGATATATTTTTTCTTAAATAAGAAATAAATAATTTTAATGACGAATATATCATTCCTACTTTCACTCTCGTTGCTAGGAATCTATAAGATATATGAAGCCAAAACAAGTGTTTAGTTTGCAGGGATTCAAATTTCCAGCTCGCAGAGGGTTTGTCGGAAGGGCACTTTAGGCAATTCACATTTAAATAAAACTGTGCGTTTCACCTCCAACACATTCTGCCGGTGGACCGGGCCAGTTTATTATATAGTCGGACCGGGTTGTTGCCCCCTGAAGTATCCGGCCCAAACTCTTCCCCCTTGACGTAGTCGGCCCAAAGACTGCTGGTGAAATGCTTCCATCGAAATCTCTCGGAACCCATATTCAGCTGCCGTGGCAGTCCATGCCGTGTTAATTTCTTTCTCCATATCGATTTCGGTCTCAAGCCCTGCACTTCAATACTACATATGCAATTGTGAGGGACGCGTGGGTGGTGGGAGTTGCTACTCCTCCAATTGAATTCCCCAACTCCTCCTGGCGTATTTTGCAGGGTTCATGCGAGCTATATTCAACCCGCCAAAACCTCCTTCCAATCAACAAACCGCTAAGTAAACCTTTATTTTTGATCAATTAGAGCTTGCTGGTTCATGCTTAAGTGTGATTGCAATCAAGATAATGTCCGGAAATCAACAACCTGGTGGAAGCTCTTCAGTGCAAACCAGTGCTCCCAACCGTCGGAATTCAAAGGGCAAATGTAATTTGATTTCTTTGGTTTTTTCCATGTTCCACTGTTATTGTACGTATTCAAAATGGACACAACATATACCCGCTGCCTTAATTCTGTCGTATTTTGCAGGGTTCATGCGAGCTATATTCAACCCGCCAAAACCTCCTTCCAATCAACAAACCGCTG